AGCCGCTGCTTCTCCATGTCGAGAGGAGCCAGTTGAGGTGGCTTGGGCATCTGTTTAGGATGCCTTCTGGACGCCTCCCTGGTGAGGTGTTCCGGACACGTCCCACCGGAAGGAGGCCCAGAGGAAGACCCAGGACACGCTGGAGGGACTATGTTTCTCGGCTGGCCTGGGAACGCCTCGGGATTCCCCCGGAAGAGCTGGCCCAAGTGGCTGGGGAGAGGGAAGTCTGGGCCTCCCTACTTAGGCTGCTACCCCCGCGACCCGACCCCGGATAAGCGGAAGAAAATGGATGGATGGATGGATGGATGGATGGATGCAAAATTTGCTTTCATCTGAAAAAAGTACTTTGGACCACTGAGCAACAGTCCAGTGCTGCTTCTCTGTAGGTCAGGTCAGGCGCTTCTGCCGCTGTTTCTGGTTCAAAAGTGGCTTGACCTGGGGAATGCGGCACCTGTAGCCCATTTCCTGCACATGCCTGTGCATGGTGGCTCTGGATGTTTCTACTCTAGACTCAGTCCACTGCTTCCGCAGGTCCCCCAAGGTCTGGAATCGGCCCTTCTCCACAATCTTCCCAGGGTCCCGTCACCTCTTCTCGTTGTGCATAGTTTTCTGCCACACTTTTCCCTTCCCACAGACTTTCCACTGAGGTGCCTTGATACAGCACTCTGGGAACAGCCTATTGGTTCAGCAATTTCTTTCTGTGTCTTACCCTCTTGCTTGAGGGTGTCAATGATGGCCTTCTGGACAGCAGTCAGGTCGGCAGTCTTACCCATGATTGCGGTTTTGAGTAATGAACAAGGCTGGGAGTTTTTAAAAGACTCAGGAATCTTTTGCAGGTGTTTAGAGTTACGTTGTTGATTCAGATGGTTAGGTTAATAGCTTGTTTAGAGAACCTTTTCATGATATGCTAATTTTTTGGGACAGGCATTTCGGGTTTTCATGAACTGTATGCCATAATCATCAGTATTAAAACAATTAAAGACCTGAAATATTTCAGTTGGTGTGCAATGAATATGAAATATATGAAAGTTTCATTTTTATCATTACATTATGGAAAATAATGAACTTTATCACAATATGCTAATTTTTTGAGAAGGACCTGTAGTTTAATCAGCTTGCCACACCACTAGAAAGGCTTTGAAGCATCGTTTCATATTTTTCTTAACACGTCAGTCCACATAAGACCACCCCTCATACACTGACAGGTTGAGTTCCCCCTTCTGCGAAGGGCGGAGTCTAGGGCCATATAAATTAATGATAACACGAGACATCGGGGCTCTTCCGGTTCTGTGAACGCGTCACAGGATTGTGTAGAGTCCAGCGCTGTGAATTGTAATATTCTCCTGCCTTTTTTAATATAATCGATAAAACTCAATGGACGTTTCCTTGATTTATTTGTTAGCATGAGTTGCCACTTCTGAGGGAGGTTCGAGCCGGGGGTGAAGACGTGGGCTGGAGGGGGTTTCCGGATCCGGTGGCCCGCAGCCGGATCACGTCTTTAACACCAACATGCATAGGAAGCCAGGGAAGGGAGGACAGAACCCGTGAAATGTGCTCAAACCTATGGGTTCCTGTTAATATCCGAGCTGCAGCATTTAGGATGAGCTGGAGATGTGAGACCAGATCGTGACCAGACTGACCCCAGTATAAAGCAAGTTACAGTAGTCCAGCCGGGCTGTAATGAATCCATGAACTAATTTTTCAAGGTTGGATCTGGTCAGCACAGACTTAACAATCTGGCTTAGCTGAAAGAAGCTTTTTTTTAAGAACAGAGTTGATCTGTTTATTAAACTTAAAATCTGTGTCTAAAACTATCCCGAGATTGATAACAGACATGGCTGAAGGGAGTATAGGTTTACAGTACGTGACAGCAGCAGAGCTAGGGTTTAACACAATGACCTCAGTCCAAAAAAGTTCAATCTGGTCCTCTGGACATTCAAAAAAACAAAGCAAAAAAATATAGAAACGTTTCGTCTCTCATCCGAGAGACTTCCTCAGTCTGAGGTGCTGTTTTCAGCTCAGTCTCAAATAGCACCTTCTCAGAGTGGATCAACCAGTTTGCTGCTGACAACCAAAATGAGCTGCTCACATGGTCAAGAAGGACCATCAGCCTAACAATGGATCATTAGCACACTGATGGCTGTTTACTATTCACAGGGGGTTGAGTGATACTAGCAATAACAGCAGTGTAAGAGGGGGACAGTTGGACCCGGAGGCCTCCACCCCTGTTTAATGATGGACAATTTATTTTCACAAAGATGGCCTCCTTTACTCTTCTCTCAAACCATCGTTCCTCTCTGTCCAGGATGTGAACATCTTCATCCCTGAAAGAGTGACCGCTGGCCTGGAGATGAGTGTAGACCGCAGCATCCTGGCCTGATGATGATGATCTTCTGTGCTGAGCCATCCTTTTGGCCAGTGGCTGTTTAGTTTTGATCTGAAGCAATTAATGCACGTTTATCTTGGGAGATGGTCCTTGAGAGTACCTCATTGGTCATTCAGGTTAGACTTATGGTCACATGATGACAGAGTGGGTGGAGTTATTGTAAGAAATTTGAAACCCTGAGCAAGAGTCGTACATGTGAATATCTGAGAGCATTCACTTTGTGTCACAAACGCCTGCTCCCAAGAAAGGCAGGGTGCTGGGAGCCACGAGCGTCCAGCTCTATCAAAGGAAAATGTTAGTCAGCGGCAAGAAGTTACCGAGAGACAGCAGGCAGGAAGTCTGTCAAAATAAAATATAAAAATAGAACTTATAAAAATGATGATGAAAATAATTAATATGACACTCCTGAATATAAACTGCAGGGTAAAAAGTGTGAGAAAAAAGTAGCGGCTTATACACCAGCAATTACGGTAATTATTGAAAGATTTCACCAGGAAAACCTCAGAACATTTGATCAGCCGTTTAAGGCTTCTAAATTTCAGTTTAACAAGTAATCTGAAACAAACAAACAAACAAACAAAAAACACTGTGTAACATTTTTAAGTGAGAAACCAGCAGACTGATGCTAACAGCTTTGAAGCTGTAAAAGTTTATCAATGAAAATAAAAGTTACTTACAGCCTGAGAGGTTCGATGGTGACAGGGAGCGAATAGCGTGAATTACCCTCTGCTAGTGGTTCCATGAAATCTAGAGAAGACTCAAACAGCAGAGAATGTGCCCTCTGGGAACTGTCTGGGTTGGGATGAACCTGTCTGGGGCTTGCCAGGGCTTTCTGGATGCGGATGTGTAGTGGGACTGGCGGAGGCTGGCTGGGGGGCTCTGTTGTTGGGCTGGGGGGATCGGTTTGTACAGTAGGCATGGGACCAGAGAACATGACACTAGGTGGCTGAAGAGGCTTGACCCTGGGAGGAGATGGAGGAACGTGAGATGGCAATGAGGGGGGTAACTCGGTGGACATCTGTAGAACTGCAGCATTTGTCTTGTCCTCACTGCTTTCTGATTTATAGACTGTAGGAGGCACTAGAACAAGAGAAGAGGGGGGTTCAATGGTAGAAGACTCTGGGACCTGGCTGGGAAGAGGAGGTTCTACTGAATGACGCTTGGTGACAGGAGTCATCCTCTTCGGTGGGCTTGGGGGAGAGTGCCTAGTGGATGCTGGGATTACAATGACACCGCTGCCAGGCTGAGAACACTCTGCTGTGAACAAAAAAGTAAAAACAATTGTTATTAAGATATATGCTTACAAACATAACTCTGTGACAATGTTCAGATAGAAAGGCAATTAGCAGAGTAGTGAGGTTAGCTTTATTAATAAGAATGAGCAGAAAAAACAAACAAACGTGTGAGTCTTGGTCAATCAGGCTGCCAGGCTGGTAGCTGAATCAAGGGCATGGGGGAACACACATTGAAAATACATGGTATCAAATGTATTAAATGTTCACACTAATACCCCTTTTCCGTTAGGAACGGTACAGCACGGCTCTACTCGACTCAGCACGTTTCCTAGGCTTTTCCATTAGTAACAGTAGGTAAAACCGGTTTCTTTATTCAAAACACTTGGCTCTGTGGTTCTAACTGGGGCAAGCAGGTACCAAAATGTGACGTCAGAACATTGTCGGTCACTGATTGGTCAGGAGGTGGAGTCACTGGCTGTTTCCGAAATTTCATAACAATTGATCCGCCATTTGCAATTACCGGTGTTCAAACTCGATGAGCGGCTGGACCTTTTTAAAGATAAAAAAATAATAATAATGACAACATTGTGATCTAATGCTGAAGTGCAGGCGTTTTTTTTGTGCTTAGTGGCCGAAGACAAAATTCAGAGCAAGCTAGATGAAGCTCTGCCGGTCTTTTCCACCGGAGCCCCTCAGGCCGGGCTGGGCGTCATCTTCCCAGCTCCGAGCTTCTCCGTGTTGCCGACTCGGGCTCTGGGCTGGCCTTGTGTGCTCTGCGGGCTCTGAGTTCTGCTGGTCACCGCAAAGGATCATTCGAGATGCTGACTCTCAGAAGCCATTGCACAGACCCCAGCTTTGCATGCTCATGAAGGCCAAACCCCGATCCTGGCAGACGGGCGGACCGGGACGGGTCTGGCACACGAACGGTGGAAACGATTTTTAAAAACATTTTATGCATTAAAAAAAGTACATTTTTTAAAATCAGTTAAGATAAAAAAAATAAAAAGAACTGTGCTGGCTTTTTCATGAAATCCTGTTGTCACTTTAGTGAATATTAAATAATCTGTTAAAGTTAACTCGGCTGAAAAATCATAAAAAGACACAAAATTATTGGATCTCTCAGGAAAATGTCCCTCAAATATGTTTAAAGAAGAGCTACAGCCTTTATTTCAACTTTATTCTAACCCACAAATGTACAAATCACAAAACAAGAATTAAACTTTAAAGCAAAGTTTAAAAAAAAAGAAAAAAAAAATCTGTACAAGATACAAAACCACACATTTAATTAGACAATAAAAGTAGAAACAAGTGCAAATACATCAAATGATGAAGAAAACACATACAATTTTAAAAATAAATGTTATTGTAGAATCTGCTACATCAGAGATTTAATGGTGAATGGTTCATTAAAAGTTCATTAGCAGGATATATATATATATATATATATATATATATATATATACATACATACATATATGTGTGTATATATGTGTGTATATATGTGTGTATATATGTATGTATAGATTTTTTAGATTTGATAATTTTAATAATCTGTATTCTTTTCAATTTACTAGAATCTTCAAAATAAATTCTCAACCTGTACTGAAGCTTGTTTTCAGGGTGTTACCACCAGCATTAAGGCCCCAGTATAGCCGGGTGTATGTCAATCCGCGTGAAACGGATTAGAGTGGAAGCAGACGCCTGCAGGGCATATCCGAGCAAAGCTCAATTTTTACACTCGCGTATTTGGTGTCACACAATAAACTGTCCGGCGACGGACTGTTTTGTATGCAACACCAATGTATTAAATTTCCCTTCTCCATCCCTTATTTGGTTTAATGGCCTTTTCTTTGTTTTTTTTCCCCAAAAGGCAAGCTTTCTCTTCCTCCTTCTCCATTGAAGCCATGACTGAAATGGTGAGTAATGAAGGAATTTGTCACGATCAAATTAAAATCAAGACCAGCGTGGCTGTAGGAGGATCTTAAGATTTCCTGGTGGGCTGGTCCGATGTGTGGGCTGTGTACACAGGGTCCTCGTTACATCCAACAAAAGTATAAATTGTAAAGAAAAACTGTAGTAAGATCAAAGATATGAAATAAGAAATACACTAAACTAAGAATTCAATTAAATTCAATTCAATTCAAAAATACTTTATTAATCCCAAAGGGAAATTATTTGTTGTTGTAACTCGTTATCCTCTTTTCATTAAGAGACATTATAGATACTGATGGCTGTAGACAGGAAGGATCTCTTGTAAAGGTCCATTCCACAGTGGATCCTAAGAAACTGGCTGCAGATGCCGTCCGATCTATCCACCCAGACTCGGCTGGCCTCTCGGTTCCCGAGATATACACATACATATATATATATATATATATATATATATATATATATATATATATATATATATATATATATATA